GTAACTGGTCGTCGGGCGCACATTCGTGCGCCTCACGGGTCTGGTCCGGCGGTCTGCCACACGTGCGGAACCGCCCGGACGGCGTCCGCTTGCAAGTATGCTATTATGTCATCCCTGCGCAGCGGCCATGCTAACTACCCTTCTCTGTATCGTTGCAATTTTAACGAATGTCCCGCAGGACAGGTATTAAACCACCAGTACTTCCTGAAGTTCTGCCCGTTAACAACTCACAAGTTTAGGAAACGTACGTGCCACTACAAGAGCGCCCAAATTCATCCGACTAGAAACGCTTCTACTCTATTTTTTTCCGCGGCCGATAGCTAGGCCAAGTACTGATGGTTTAAGAAAGTAGCCAACAGACTCAACACCACAAAGAGTGAGGACTCTGAGGAGATGAGGGTGAGGAAGTGATATAAATGAGTCTGTGGGCAGTTCGATGCGGCAAGAAAACATCATCATTGAAGAGGAACGTCCCGACATCAATCAAGGCCCAGACCACGGTGCTACTGTCCCACAGCTCCCATAAAACAGAGGCATGGACAATGGCCATGTAATGGCCAGATATATAATATTCAGTCTGATAACCTGCTACTAATTCTTCTTCAGCTTCTGGCAAATCAAATGGTAATCTTTCACATTCTGCTAAGGATGCTATAAAAAAAGTAATAAAACCAACTGGCTGACGCCATATATTCCAGCTGAAAATCCCATATTGACACTGTTGTTCAACAATCTCAGAAGTACTCAAATATATATATCTATATATATATCGTCAAATAGAACTGCCCGGTAAACCGTAGGCAGAGAGGGAGAAGAGGACAACAAATGAGGGGCTGTGACAAACTGTTTCGTCGGAGTTTCACCGACTCATCAGGAGGCTGAACCCTATATATATATATAAGTCTCATTAATTGATCATAACGATATCGTGGAAATGCTGCACGAACCCAAATATATAAAAACATATATATTTTCCTAAATTTATTTCATTTATTTATTTGTTTTAGACAGTACACAAAGATATACGTAAGATGGCCACATGGCAAGCGTACAAGGGCTGGACCTCGCCCCAGAACGACGACAGGGATAAAAAAAATAAAAAATAAAAATAAAAAAACAAAAATTAAAAACTGAGAAACAAAAGCAAAAAAACCATCGAAGTGAGTAAGTGAGTGTAGTATGTGCATGCCATTTCAAGCGGAGGGAGCCGAATTGTGCACACACAGAACACTGGAATGAAAAACAAAAAGCGGGAGTCTATGTCTTTGTCGATTTACCAATTCCATACGCAGCCAATTGTAACCTTTTCCATCTGCACATCAGGTAGGCGACTCAAACATCTCCCTCTCTCTCTCTCTCTCTCTCTCTCTCTCTCTCTCTCTCTCTCTCTCTCTCTCTCTCTCTCTCTCTCTCTCTCTCTCTCTCTCTCTCTCTCTCTCTCTCTCTCTCTCTCTCTCTCTCTCTTTAACCTCCTCCATTCACCGAACACACTGTGAAGGACATCACGCAGACGGAGGGCCAGACGACTGCCCCATGGAAAAATAAACAGGCTGCCAATTGGACTCGTCCCAGAAGGACGCAGGGAGGCTCAGAAGCTCGTTACTAATCTGAAGATGTGCGATCTCTTTCTCTATCATTTTCATCCTCGCACTGGGTTCCTAGCAACATGAACATGTCGCCCAATGTCCGCCCTCTGTTGCTGATGAGGTGGCAGCAGCTTTTCCCTTTCCACCGACGCAAAGAGCTTCGAAATAGCGACACAAATCGTTGTCACCAACAGTCCCCCCCGCTACTCCATGCACAATGTCGTTGTAGAACCTCCAAGCGGTTTCAGCCTGCTGGCGTGCCACTTGCAGCTCCATATCGGCGGCCTCGCACCTCGACCAAGCTTCGTCCCTGTCTCAAACTGCAGCGTGCAAGGCTTGGGTAGTGTCCCGTACTTCCACTCGGCTGTTCCCCCACATTCGTCTCCACTCCTCATTATCTCGTCGGATCTGGAGGTTGTGGATGACAAGTTGGTCGCAGCAATGTCGCAGACTATCTCTTGAAGCACGCAGTCTCTTGAGAACGGAACTTGCCCACCTCCGCGCGTGAATGTTCTCGAAAGACATGTCACTTTCACAAACGGATCTACCGCAACACATCGTGACTGTGATGCTATCACCCCTCTCCACTAAGTACTTGTGGATTCGTTCAACCTCCCTCTCCATCTTCTCCATTCCGTACACTAGCACACGCCTCTCCCTGACATAGTCCCTTCCCGCCATTGGTCCTTGGTAAGAAACTCTGCAGAACCCAATGATCTGGACCAGCGCGCAAAGCTCCACACGAACAATGATCGAAGCAATGGACAGCAAGTAAGCAGACCTTCGGGAAAAACAATGTATAAATGGGCACCAACCGCTTGTTGACTGGGCGAGCCGCAGTGGTTTGCGTGTGAGGCCTATTTCACTGCTCCCTCCGCAGCTCATACAAGCGGACCACTTGTGCACACAATGCATCTCTCACTGCCTGCCCGAGTTCGCGACCGAACATGAATTCAAGCGGTGATACGTTATTCCCTCGTCCACCACGGGGAGGAGGTGCACCAGGGGAAGACGCATCAGACAACTCAGCGTCCTCTTGCGGCATGTCTCCTCCTTATATCGGTCACATGCGGACGAAAGAAGAACTGGAACCGCATCTCGAAAACTCCAAAAACGCTCCACGCAAGATCTCACTATCTTGTGGAGTGCATCGAACTGTTGCATGCCAATCGTGAGATTCGGTTGCTGGCCATAAGGAGTGACGATCCATGGTAGACTGGGATACCCGCCATCGGCGAGCAAGTACCCGCCAGGCACACCTGCAATTGCCGGCCTCTCACCAGCGAAAGGATCAGTGTGGGGTCGTCCAAGAACAGAGAACCTTGTAGAGATCGCCTGTGCAGTGACGTTGACTTCAGCGCGCGTCCATCACCAGCAGTCCCCGGGAATCTTCAGTTCCGAGTCGACCACCAACTGTGCAACAATGGAGAACCTGTTGAATCTTCCCGAACAATAGTCATCCCCATCCCTCGTGCGCGGCTTGCCCATATATAAACTTGGGCGCAGTCTATGCACCCCCAACAGTTCGGGAAGCCCAACGCATCAAACAACTGCATTCTACAATGACGCTCCGCAAACCCTAAACCCAAACCCGACCGCTTTCCGGTAACATGAGATAATGGCCTCAGCCACCTCTCTGATGGCTCCGAGTCCACTGGTTTTGCCCATACCGTACCCTGAGCAAGTATGCCAATGCGAGTCACCGTGCGCCCACCTGTGGAGAGCGTACGCCAATTTCTTCGCAGGATCCAAAGGGACCCTGAACTTAGTCACCTCCTTCTGCAAGAGGGGACCCACCTTCCGCAAAAGACGGTTGAATGATGACCGCCGCATGCGTAAGAGACCCAAGTAATGGTCATCCTCCGCATCATCACATGGAAGGAGATCCTTCCACAAACTACCCGTTCACCGCATAACCCACCACCTAGACGTAGCACGGGGGAACAGAGGCCACAGCCAAAGCAAAGAGCGCCCCCCATGGCTATCATCATCTGCATCATCGTTGCCCAATAGGAGGCCTTCGTTGCCGCTTGCCAGCAAACCCTGGAGACTCCTTGTCGGCAAACGACATATGCTTTCCACAATCTCGAAAGCATCCTCTGCCATCCTCCCTGCCATAGCCATGACCACGACTGCAAGCTGTTCCTGATCCCTTCTTCTCAACGCCAGCATTGTTCGAGGAAGAAGGTTTGACGCTAAGCTAACAGAAGGGCAATGCACACACGTGGGCTCACTCACAGCGGGTGAAGTGGAAAATCAAGAGGACGTTCACATCGAAAGGGCACTCAGATGTTGCTGCTGTACCAAGCGTTTGTTCACTGGGGGTTAAAAGGCCGAAGTTGGAGTGGGGCAGGTGGAGGGTGGTTGGAGTGGGGGAGGAGGGTTGGGGGTTGGTGGTGTATAGGCTGTGAAAAAAAAAAAAAACAGGCCAACGAAGCGGAGGGAACCGCTACAAAATCTCCGCGGCACTTGTTGTATCCGAACTACCGTTCGCCCGGGGCCACGTTTGGTAAGAAACTTCAACTTCGTCTACGCGAATGGTCACACGAACCGCACCATACTCACTGAGGCGCTTCGGCACAGCACATGAGGCATTTTGGGCAGTGTTCCGGTAGCACTGGCCAAAATGGAGAGATGGCGTTTTCACTCACCCCGGTGGGACTGTCGAATCGTACACTTTAGCATTCAGCCACGATGTCATCAACCCGTATTTGGCCTTGTACTCTGAGAAATGCAGAAGTAATGTGCAAAAAAGGGCCAATATGCATAGCTGGCGAAGTCCAGACTTCAAGGCATAGATGCAGCATGGGGGGCGGCAAGGATCCGTCTATCACAGCCTTCGAGGCTTTTCCAGCGAGTACTCGTGTCAGAACAGTGTTTCCTTATTCTCATTTACAGAAGCCCGTAAAAAAAAAAAAAAAAAAAAAAAAACAACAGTTTTCCTTACCATTTAAATGAATAAAAGTCGTCACACAACGATTAAAACGTCTGCGGTGGGACTTAGCCCCAGGCTCACATCGAAATTCTTTACCAAATTTAAAATTAAAATAAAATTAAAATAAAATTAAAAAACGTTTTTTTTGGGGGGGGCCCCTGCCAGGCAAGTGGTCCCAGGCCACTCTGGTAGTCTAGTTGCCTCCATTATTTTTCAATTAAAAAATTAAAGAACTGCATACCGATCCTTCCTTGGGATTGTGCACTGGGAAGTGGGTACTAAATCAATTCAGCAAATTGTGCCCTCAAGTTTCAGAGCGATTTCATTTGCCAAAAAAAAAAAAAAAAACTCAAAGAGCCGTGCTTCTCATGACTTTTACAGAAAATCTAGAACTGAAGCAGGAGCCAACTTAGTCTCCAGCAGGCTGCAGGCAAACAAAGAAAGAAAACTTTGAAAATGAAACCAGAGCCAAACTCCACGAAGAGCGCACCAAAACGAAGAAACAACCGCACATGGCGGGAATATTTCCAAAAATATATAAATTAAATTTGAGCAAACCCACTCAATACATATATATAAGACTATACGTAAAACCAAAAGCACTTTAATCCTGGCATATGATGTATAGCTCCTTGATCTTCTTCAGAATGTCCTACTTTCTATTCCAGTAAGACGTTAAAAATAAAATGATTGAAAAAAAAAGAACTGCTTACAGCGCTAACTTCTAAGGCTTCTAGTCATTTTGAAATTTGAAGTAATCAAAAGTGCAAAACCACCCCTCAGGTTGCCATAAGCAAACAGGAGGGAAACAAGAAGAGAGGACCTAACCCTGGAAACACACACACCTCCATACCCACACACCCACACACACACCCACACCCACACCCACACACACACACACCTACACACATACACACCCACACACCCGCACCCACCCACCCACACACACACACACACACACACATACACGCATACACGCACACACACAACCACCCACCCACACGCACACACACAACCACCCACCCACATGCACACACACGCACACACGCAGACACATGCACGCACATGTACGATAGAGAGAGAGTGAGAAAGGTTGGATCATCAACATGAGACACAGGACTACGGCTCAGAGCGTAGGATGAGGCTACCGTTCGTGGGCTAGTTTGCAGGGCTTCAGAACTTACTCATCAACGTCTGTGGCGTTAGAAGAAGCTGTGAGACCCGTCTAGATACTTATATATACTTCAGAGTGCCGAGTCGAGACCAGGAGGTGATGATTATTTCATGACAATCACCACCTCCCCTTTGGAGATCCTCCAACCTTTGTCTGGCATAATCCGCATTTCGTACCGAGCTGAGTATGTGCTTCTGTACGAGTCATTCAGGTCTGGCTTCTTATTGTCATGTAGTTGTGCTGCTTCTTGCAGTGTTGCTTCCACTGATGCAGATTTACCACCATCGCGGATTTTTATGCTGTCAATCTTCATGTTAAGCAGCTTATACTCCCAATGCCAGCCATGCTTGGCCATGTTTTGTGCACGCTCTGACCATAGAGACAGCATAGGGCCTTCGAGTACCTGCCAGCACAAAATACAGCGTCGCCGTCGCCAGCCCCGCAAACTCGTCATCAAATAGGGATTATAGGGTATTTGTGCGAGATTCTGAAGGGGAAATGCCTGAAGGACCCACGACAGTGTAGAGGTGCATCGATCGAATGGCAGTGGCCAGCCAACAGATGCAGGTACGCTGATCAAAGAGTCGCAGCACAGAAGAATATGTACGACCAATTCCACAGAAATAACAGAGAAGACATATACCAATTGGATGGTGTTGTTTCAAACTTTCTAGTTCACAAAAGGAAGAAAGAAAAAAAAAAAAAAAAAAAAAAAGCATGGCCTTTTGTTGGCTATGGACTACAGTTCAGGACCAGCAGGCTGTCGCTGCACTAGACGAGCACGGACCTGTTCTGCACGTGGAACCGGTCTATGTCCACCTAGCTTGAGTAATATAGCCTGCAGTGGCCCATTGATTCAACTCTGCGTACATAAAATTGGCGGCCCTCTCGTATGTCGGCGCGTGCGCTGGATGAGTGAGTTCTGGGCCAGTGGTGGTTTCAGCACCACATATGAATAACAGAGCTTCAGCTGTCAGCAGCCAGGGCTATTAAGCGGCTCAGATCGGCAAAAATGGGCGTGGTTGTCAGAAGAGAACTGTGGTTGTCAATCTCCACACGTGGAATCGCGATTGCCATGGCAACAGCCTGTCTCAAAACAAAAGTCGCCGCTCTTGCTGGTTAGGCCCAAGGCTCAGGAAGTCCAAGGTCCGGCAAACGGCAACTTCTGCTCATCTGGACCCACACTGCGCACCGATTCAGTCTCTCACGTTAATTAACGCCTAAGAATGCAGTAGGTACACTGGTGGTTAAAAAAAAAGACTAATATGTCAACTGCAGTATCTGGAAGGCTGACTTTCCCAAGCACATTGTTACATGCTGCGCCTGCACACGGGCCCCATTTCAGGGGCCCGACGGTTGCTAAGGGGCCCCCAGGCCGCACGCCCTTTTGACGCGCACCCTGGAGGCCCACGGCGGCCCCTAGGGGCAGGATTTGATTTACGACAGCATTCAGTTAGTTATTTATTTGTTTGCTGTCTTATTTTTGTCTGTTCAGGCATCGTTTCGGACTTGCAGTCCCCAAGGCTGCGCCTTGCGCTGGGTACACCAGGAGGCAGGGCCCTTTGAGGCCAGGTTCGTGCTCGTCCAGTTACGGACGTCCCTGCTGCATCAGCAGGCAGGGTCTGGACGTCCGGTCGGGACCCAGACCCAGTAGGCCACGTTTTTGGCCTAGGACCAGAGGCACACGGAGGCAGACCGACGAGGCCCAGCACTACGTATAGCTGGGCCAGGCCAGGACAGACAGGAGAGTTGGAGTAGCCCACTTCTTTGGGCGACACGCTGCTGAACCAGCGCTACAGCGCTACCGCGCTATGCTGGGGTAGAGGTAGAGGTGTAGGCAGGCAGAGGGGTGGAGGCCATACCTGCGTCGGCGGTACTTACCTGGGCGCCATAGTCGTGCTCCACACCGGCGACCTGCACAGGACCACGACGGCGGTTAGTACATAGCGGCAGTTACCTGCAGGTGAGACAGCGAGGAGGACGACACTTTCTTCTTCTTCGTCTCGCCCTCCATCTCTTCTCCCTCCTTTCTCCTCCTCCTCCTTTTTCTTCTTCTTCTTCTTCTTCTTCTTCTTCTTCTTCTTTCAGAGAGAGAGAGGTTACAGGCAGAGGTTACATCGGGCACTGGCCCATGATCTGATTCGACATTTTGTGGCAGACATTGATTGGACATTCGGCAGGGAGGCTATTTCTGGACTTCGCTATCGCGATCTTGGTCTTCTTCCTCACCTCCATCTTCGTCCTGCCTCTCCCCCATCTCTCATCCGTCGTATCTTCCCCATGTGTGTGTACGAGGAGGGACCTTTCTTCCATGTATGCGGTCCCTCCTCTTCCTCTCACATGTGTGATGTATGATGGGAGGTCGTGTCAGTATCTGATCGGTCAGGTCATATCTTTGAGTCTTCCGTTGCGCTACTTTGTGCTATTTTAGAGGTACATTGCTGGTTGATGCTTTGCTGACACTGCATTGTCCATACGAGTCCTTTTCATCACTTTGCGGATCCTTGGCTCCATATACATAGCTCGACTGAGCATGTATCAACATTGAGAATGCCGATTTTTTTTCAGTACCTCGCGGTCTATTTGGACTATATGCCCACTTTTCTGAATCTGGCGAGCTGTGCCTTTTCAAAGCACGTGGAGCAGAGTGCTTCCTGTTTACCCCTGAAACACAATTAGGAGGCACAGGTGTACCGCTAGCAGGGCTTCAGGTGCTTCTTCTGTTAGGCTTTGTGACTCGTGGAACTTCAGCTGTCATCGATCGTATAAAAAGTGGGCGCCTAGAGTTCTGATCCTGGTGTTGCTCGCGACCACAAAAAAAAGGCTGCATTTTTGCATCAGACAGAGCCTGAGAAAAGAACAGGCTCAAAAAAGAAAAGGTACCATTCTCAGACAGAGCTGCTTTGTTCTTTTCTTCACAGCGCTTAGCCCAACAGCACAATGCAGTTGTAAAAAAAAAAAAAAAAAAAAAAAGACGCACAATGCAGTTGTGAACAGTAATCGTGTGTTTGCGATGTTGATGTTTGGCTAGCCACAGTGGGGCCCAGAGGGATTTTTCTTTCTTGTTGTTATTACTTTTAAGGGTGTTACAGATAGCCCTTTAAAGTTTAAAAACTACTTTATTTGTGTTTATCTGATTCCATCAGAATTCGAACTCGCACTCTGTTTACTACCAGTTGTGCGCGCGGGCCATTCAGCCACATGCGCCCGGAGGGAGGGGTTCAATCAGTGACTGCGGCGATTCTCCTTCAGAAAAGAAAAAAAAAAAAAAAAAAAAAAGCCAGAAAAAATGCCAGACAAGAGTTCCCTTGATAATTCAACTACAAATCAGAATTCAACTTGTGTCAAGTTGGTTCAGAATTATTTTCTCCAACAGGCCAACAGCACTGTGTGGATCACATTTCCTCAAGCGCTGCAGGTTCGATCGGAATTATCTTTACGTGATGCGGACCAATAGCGCTTTGAGGTTCCATTGCGTTCACTCCGTCCGGCACGGCCTGAAGAATCACAATTGGTTTGAATAGGGACTATTCCTTGTTTTTCCTTTGCTTGAAAAAGGAAGGGGAGGGGTTTTTGGGGCCAGCCAAGGGGGGGGGAACATGGGTCAGAGGGGTGCACACTGCACACATTGACCCCATAAAGATAGGTGGAGCATTAATTATCTCAGAGAGGGTACACAAAATGCCTCCGCAAAGTTGGTGCATAATGCCCCCCCCACACAAAGGGGAATAGCTAAGAAGGGAAATAGCAAGCCACAGGTAGTGGTGGGTGAGACTACCTCATACTAAAGCCATTGCACTTTAATACAGGGGTTTGCATCATGGAGTGCAGGGAAAATATTGAACATTGCCTATTACAATGTTTCAGCTGTTGTCGGAAGAGGTTTTTTTTTCAGAGGCCCCGCGCCGTAGATAAATTGAAACGGCGGCAGGCGGCCTGCGAAAAGGGCCCGCGGCTGATAACTGGATGTACTGGTGGTTTAAACCACCATTGGCCCTCGGCCTATTTCACCATTCCCGAAAGCTCAGTGGCAGGGAAGACAGATGCCAGGCATTGTCGGCTGTAGAGATCGTGATTCCACGCCGTCGTCTGGCAGGCACAGAAAAGTTTGTTTGCAATCGCACCAGGCTGCCGAGCCGATACAAAGCCAACTTGCTGCCCCTGCGGCGAGCGGTGAAGCGTGTGTGAGTGATTGGTGCCAATGGTGTATTTACTATTATTATTTAACCTGTTTGTCATAAACCGGGCTCAGTTGAAGCTATTACATCCCTTAAGGTTTGACTGTTACCAAAGTGTTTAAGTTAACAGGTACACCTGTTTGCATGTCCTTAAACGACCAGTGCATCCGAAAAAGGAGATTGAGCCTCTCCTAAAGAAATAGGAACCCATGAACCACCGATTCACTTTACCGACAGCCCATGGCCTCCGAACTTTTAGGAGAGGCTCAATCTGCTTTTCCGGATGTACTGGTGATTTGAACCACCAGTATAGCAACAAAACTCTGGAATTTCTGGCGGCATTACGAGGGGGCCGCACTTACTATGTGCCGGCCTGGCAGGAACTGGTTGGATTCATTCCGGGGAAAAAAGAATAGGTTTGCCAATATATAGGGTCCCTCACACTGGCGCTTTAAGGACAGCCACCACTGGTGCTTTGAGGACATCCACTTGACATGGCATCTGCACCGGGATGACACACGAATCGAGAAACGACTCAATTTTTCGCAGTTAGGGAAAAAAAAAAAAGGACAAAAAAAGACAAGTGCGAAAAAAGATACCTCTTTCAGTGCCTCCACGTGGTGGGTTGGGCCCAATGCGCGCGCTTTGACTATCTGCCAACGGCGAACCATCCTCTCTGCCACTGCGGGAGTCATCGACTGGCTTGCGATAGGCTCGTTCTGCTTTTCCCGCACAGATCCCACACCTTGGCCATCCCTTTCTTCCGATATGATGGCTGCTGCAATATCATCGTCCAGAGCACGCCCTGATCGAGTAACTTCGGATATCGACGCAGTTCGTGAAGGAGCACAAGTTTCTGCAACAGCAGCTGCATTCCCGCCACCCAACCAGGTGCTGAATCGCCTGCCACGCGATTCTCCTCCAGAGACGGGTTGTCGTACTAAGCCCATCAAGACAAGACCACCGTAGAGAAGACCTCCTGCGACGATGAACGCAAGGGGTTTTACAAGCCATGCAATCCCTGGTTCCTGAGGATTGCCTTGACGGGGGTCTTTTCGCACCAAGTTTCCCACCACCTCCTGGTTTGCAGGCTTCTCCTGCCAATCGTCTGCATCGCCAACCTCTAGCGACTCCGCTCCTGTTTTATCGACCAAGTTGTTTCCCATCTCCTTGGTCGTCTGGCCTTCGTGAGGGCCTCCGAGAGAAAGCACCTTTTTCACGGTTTCTACGGCCGACCTCTGGACATTCCTGAGAGCCTTTCCGGCCTCAGCGAGCGCCTCGCCTGCACCAAGTGGCGACCTCCTATCCAACCTTTCCAGATATCTCTTCACCCCCTCGTCATCGTAATAATCATCGAGGATGACTTGTTGGCCGGCGGCATCCCTGAACGGTGGGAAGACGGTTTCTTGAAGCCACTTTGCAAGCAGAATACAAAGACCCGGGAGAAGATGGTCATAGCTTTCTTCTCCATCCGAGTTGGAATCAGACGCATTCTCGCCAACGGGAGTTTTGCCGTGATCCTCGGTCGTCGTGGCTCTGGCATGATCCTCAGCTGCGGCTCTGGCACTCTCTTCACGCTCTCGCTCCCTCACTAGCGCCGACTGTTCATACACAAACTCGCGAATTGCCCTGTTTTCCAGATCAAAGCTTCCCACCCCACCCCCTTTCTTTGCAACCACGTCCGAGACCTCAATCGGACTGTCCGGGTTCTCTATTCCCAGCATTTCCTTGGCAGTCGCAACCCGACCAAGCAACATCGCGCACATTGCCCTCTCCAAGGACAGGTTCCACGTCGTACTTTGCCGCACCTTATCATCACCCTCAGCTCCTGACGGGCCCGCGGACGATGAACCCGAAAGGCTCTGCTGAAGCTGAGAGAGAAGCATATCGGCATCCTGGATGCGCTCGGGTTTCTTGTTGAGATAACCATCCGCCACATGTGCCAGGCATGCATTGTACACCTCCCAACTGTCTGCTGGTATGTGCTGTGGAGTGCTCATAAACAGTGCAACCTGGAGAGTGCAGACCACAGACACAAAAAGAAAACACGCCACAGCCCTCACTACAAATCCGCAACCACCATAATGCAAACCAAACGTCTGTCAAGCTCACCGTCTTTCTCGTTGTCAGGTCCATCGACAATAAATCCGCCTTTGAAAGGTAGTCATCCTTCTATCATCCTAGAGAGACAAGGGCGGAGAGAGAGAGAGAGAGAGAGAGAGAGAGAGAGAGAGAGAGAGAGAGAGAGAGAGAGAGAGAGAGAGAGAGAGAGAGAGAGAGAGAGA